TTTGGAGTGTAAGACCGTGCTTCGCACCGACATCTAGCCTCATCTACACACCTGCCAGGACCGCCTTGCGAGGGACGACGTCAAGGAGAAGGGGTGCCTCCTCGACGGGTTCCCGCGCGCCCCCGACCAGGCCCAGGCCATGGTGGATGCCGGCCTGAAGGTCGGGAAGTTCCTGCTAATCGACGTCCCCGACGAGGATCGGGCGTTGCAAGGGGTGACGCTGGCCCAAGGTGACCCCAGCGCTTCCAGACCAGATGGCCCCAGAGCACCCCTCACGAGGTCCAGAAGGCCCCAGAACATCCAAAGTGTCACGAATAGCTGTGGGCACCTTCCCGGACAGCCGGCCCAGACATCAGGCGACTTGATTGGTTCACGACGTGAGCCCCCAGACCTCTCAACCCCTTCCCAGGGCAAGATTTGCACCTTGGGGTGGTCTTTGACAATCTTGAGGCCCCAAAACGGCCCCCAGACCGATGAGAAACGGGCCACTTTGATTGTGTCGTGACAACCCACACATCCAATGGCTTGGTTTTCTCGTCACGCGATCCTTGCATTTCTCGACTCCTTCCCTGAGGCTGGCTGCTCGCCCCGAGTGGTCTTTGATGGCCCCAGGACTTGGGAACAGCCTTTGGAGGATCAAATCTGGTTTGTTTTTTTAAGCTGCTGGGAGGTCTGGGGTTCTGTCGTGACGAGGGACACCTGGGGGTGGGCGACGATGACTTCACAGCAGCCCTCCGAGCGAGGAGCTGGTAGTGCGCGGCTGCGGAAGGCGCCTGGACCCGGAGTCTGGCGAGATCTACCACCTCAAGTTCAAGCCGCCCCCGCCGGAGATTGTGGACCGCCTCGTCCACCGCAGCGACGATCAAGATCCGGGGAAGAAAAACACCGACACCCATACCCGTCCCTCGTTTCTGCCTTGTCCGGCCTCCCGGGGGCGGGGGCCCGTCGCCACGGTCGGAGTCGCCTCGGAACCTGGGTCGGGACTGGCCATGGGCGAGGTCCGGGAAGCAGCCGTATCGATAGCGTTTATTTGTCCCGTGACTGACGATCACTCATCGGTGCGTCAGCAGCCCGCACAGCAAGGACGCATCGTACAGTCAGCCCGCACAGCAAGGACGAGCAACCTTCCAGGGTGTCCCTCGCATCCTTGCCTCTTCAGCCCATCCCTGGCGACTTTCGCTGGCCAGCCCCGTGCGAAAACGCCAACATGGCCTTCCAAGGCCCTTGCACCCTTACCGCGCATCCTTCTGGCATGGGCGGACTGTGTGGGCGATGCGCTGGCGACGGGATCCGTTTCCGCTGGGATCCGATTTCGCGATGCGCTCCAGCTCAGGCCTGCCAGTCTTGAGCAAGGCGGCGTCAGAGGTTTGCCACCCCTCTCGGCAGGGGGGCCGGCCACGGGCCCGTGGGGCTGTCGAGAGACGGCCGTGGAGGAGAAGCGTGCCCCGAGGAAGGGGTCGAGGGGTCCTGGGGCTGGCGACTCGACGAGGTCGAGTCTGTCTTCAAGAGGCTGACGCCATCCCCCCGGCCCCCAGAAGAAGCGGGGAGTCTACGGTGGCGCCGTGGGCTTCTTGGGCACCATCTGGGGACTCCTGTGGGCCTTTTGGGAGCTGCTTGGAGGGCGTGGCTGAGCATCCTGGAGGCAGCTTCGCAGCGTCTTGGGAGCCGTTTTTGGGGGGCCTCGCTTGGAGCCTCGAGTCCGTCACGGGGGAAAGATGGTAGCTACTACAGGCGGCCCGGATTAGTAGGTCGACCCTGCCCAATCAAGGGTACTCTTGTGTCCTGTGTCTCGCGACCCATGCCTCCTCCATTTATGTGGCAATGTGGCCCTCGGAAGGGTCTTGTGTCCTCTCGCGCGTCCTGTCCAATCAAGTCCGACTGTACTGTATATGTGGCACGCTGCCGTTGGGAGACCGCCAGCGTGATGCTCCTGCCTTTCTTGTCCAGATCTCTGGCGCTCCGTCAGAAGTAGCACGCTACTGAGTATTGGGTCGGGCATGCCCCTCTAAGGAGGGACGATCTTTTTTATTCTTGCTCGACCCTTTTGGGGTGCTTTTGACTCTTTCTATTTTTCCTCCTAAAATCCGCTCGCAGGAGGACGTGTCCGACCTGACGCCACTGTGCTCCCCACGGCGGCGCGTCATCGAGATGGTCCCTGCACCCCCCGAGAGGGGCCGGGCGACGGGGTGCCCCCCCTGAGGAGGTCCGCCGCCCATTCGGGAGGCGGCGAGGGGGGCGTGCGGTCTGCAGGGGCAGGGGGCTGATTGAAGGGGCCCTGGGGCACACACACACACACACACACACACACACACATAGATAGACACAAATAAAAGGATTCCCCATATTTTCCCATATATCTTCTGGGTTTTTGTCTTCCCCCCCACTTCCCATATTTTCCCATCTTTTTTCGGGGGAATGGGCGATTAGATGTGTCTGTGTGTGTTTTTCCCCTCCTGAGTTGGTCCCTTCTGAGAGGCCCTCCCGTCTTTCGAAGACGAACAAACGCCATAGACATAAACTTTTGGCGCTCCGCGCGGCTTTCTTGGATCCGCGCTGGCCCCCCCTGGCGCGCTCCGCGTCCAGGCCAGATATGGCATTGTTCTTGTTCTGGTCTTGGTACTCCGGCGCAGGGTCCACTTTCATCCGGTCGATCCGATTCGATATCGAGTCCAGTCATTCCGATCCGACCCGATTCCGATAATTATAACCAGCTGCTTGCGGCAGATCCGCCACCGTGCCAACGATGCATTCTGTGTGGTGACCCTTTGAGCACCGCCAAGAAGGCCGTTATATGTGACACCTCTCGTCTCGATTTCTGGAGGAGCTCCAGGGGGGTTGTTTCTACCATTTTGGGGCTGTCATTAGTCCAAGTGGGGCCGTCTTGGAGCTATTTGGGGCCGTCTCGGAGGCATCGTGGCCTCGGGAGCGCGAATCCGTACCATTGTTCTGTACATTGTCGCCTCGAGAGCGCGAACCTGCCGTGTTTTAGGACGGGTTCTGGCTTCGGGAGTGCGAACAGGTTGTATGTTGTAAGGGAGTGTGGCCTCGAGAGGGAGGGGAGTGGTGCATCGGACGCAGCGTGGCGACCGAGGGGAGGGGCCCCAGAAGCTCACAGAAACCCCAACAGACCGCACTCGGCAGTGCAGCACGCCCCAAGCGTGCCAAGGGGCACGGCGGCGGACAACGGGCAGCGCCTCGGGCTTGGACCGCTCGTAGCTGGTCAAGTGCTCTCTAACCAGAGGGGGTCCACACTGCAGCCCAGGCCTCGCCAGCGTCTGACGGGACGCGCTTCGGGCGTGGACCGTCTGTGCCCGGTTTCGGGGAATTGTAAGGCTCGAGCACGCCAGAACTCGGGTTTGCCGGCGCTTCTTGACGGGCGCGTCCTGGATTTGACGGCCCAGTTGTCGTGGGATGTTTGCAGCGGGAGCTCGTGTCAAATTTCAGATTGGGTCTCGTCATTGTCATGATGGCCCCATCAGGCCAACTTGGGTCCCGGGTCCCCCGAACCCGAGTCTTACGTCTCCCGACCGTTGAGTTCTCTGTAACTGACGGGTCCGCGCTGCAGCTCGGACCTCGCTGGCGGATGACGGGAAGCGTCTTCGAGGAACGAGAAGCGAGCTAAACTTTCTGGTTGAATCCGTAATATATTTAAGATTTGTACATCCGTAGACCGTGCCCGATCGCACTAGGGGAAGGCTTGACTGGTGACGGGAAGCGTCTTCGAGGAAGCAGAAGCGAGTTGGACGCTCTGGCCGAATCTGATATCTAAAAAGTATCGACGGCGCCTACGGCGGATCACCGCCGCCCCCTGCCTTTTGGAATCGCCCATGTGGCCGATCGTTGTGGCAAGAGCTCCGCCAAGCTATCGGACCATGTGTTCCCCCAGCCGCTGTGGAAACCATTCGGGGAACACTTCAAGCAGGATGGCGGGGACGATCAGCAGGAGGAGGAGGAGGAGGAGCAGGAGGAGAAAGAGGAGGAGGAGCAGAAGGAGGAGGAGGAGGGGGCATCTTGGGAGCCTCTGGGAGCACTGTTGGGGCCTCCTAGGAGTTTCCTGGGAGCCTCTTGGAGGCATCTTGGGGGCCCTCATTCGGCGTCTGGGAGGCCTTCGGGAGCTTCTCGGGGGCTTCTTTGTCCGCCTTAAGGCATTCCTGGCCCGTCCGACGGCGTCGGAAGCCGTCTCGGGGGCCTCTCTGGGCCGACTTGGGGCCCTCTTGAGGTGCTCCAGGGCCGTCTTGGAGGCTATCTTGGGCGTCTTGGAGGCCTCTTGGGTCGTCTTGGAGCCCTCGTTTGGCCGAATTGGGGGTCTCTTGGCGTCATCTTGGCCGTCTTGGGGTCATCTTGGAGGCAAAATTTGGCCATCTCGGCCGTCTGGGAGGCATCTGGGAATACATGTTGGGCCATCTTGGGCGACGAGAAAGGCATTGGCATGTACATTTCCAGGGTGGCTGGCGCGCTGGGCTGAAGCTCCAGGGGGCGTCCTAAAAGACCCCCAAACCTTTTGAAATTTCGCACGCGTACGACGGATCACCGCCGCCCCCTGCCTTTTGGAATCGCCCATGTGGCCGAGCGTTGTGGCAAGAGCTCCGCCAAGCTATCGGACCATGTGTTCCCCCAGCCGCTGTGGAAACCATTCGGGGAACACTTCAAGCAGGATGGCGGTGAAGATCACGAGTGATGAGAAGGAGGAGGAGGAGGAGAAAGAGGAGGAGGAGCAGAAGGAGGAGGAGGAGGAGGCGGGGGCATCTTGGGAGCCTCTGGGGGCACTGTTGGGGCCTCCTGGGAGCTTCCTGGGAGCCTCGTGGAGGCATCTTGGGGGCCCTCATTGGGCCTGTTGGAGACCTTCGGGAGCTTCTCGGGAGCTTCTTTGTCCGCCTTAAGGCATTCCTGGCCCGTCCGACGGCGTCGGAAGCCTTCTCGGGGGCCTCTCTGGGCCGATTTGGGGCCCTCTTGGGGTGCTCCAGGGCCGTCTTGTCTTGGAGGCTATCTTGTTGGGAGCTTTTGGGCCGTCTCGGGCCGTCGGAAGGCAAAAAAAAACAACTGCTAAAATCTTCAAAACCGAAGAACAATCAATGATTTTGGCCTCTCCGGGCCTTCCTGGAGGCCCTCATGGGGGCCTCTTGGGCTTTCCTGGATGCCCTGTTGGGGGCCTCTTGCGGACTTTTCGGGCCGTCGGAGGCCATTATGACGCCATCTTGGGCCGTCTTGGGTGCATCTGAGGGCCATCTCGGGCTCTCTTAGCGCCATCTTGGCTGTCTTGGGGGGCATCTTGGAGGCCATCTTTGGCCATCTCGGCCGTGTGGGAGGCATCTTGGAGTCCACGTTGGGCCATCTTGGGCGAGAAAGGCATTGACATGTACATTTTCAGGGTGGCCGGCGCGCTGGGCCGAAGCCCTGGGGGAAGTTCTAAAAGACCCAAAGACTTCCTGAAATCTGGCACGCCAGGCACGCGTGTGGCAAGCCAACAGGGGGCGGCGGATCTAGTGGCCTTTGGCCCATGCCGCCACCGCGCCTGGGCTGTAGGTCAGAGGCCTCCTGGATCCTAGAGCCTGCGAGGATCTCTTGAGATGCCTCTCAGAAGCCTCTTGGGAGGCGGTTTGGACGATGTCTTGGGGCGTCGTGGGGGCCCCTGGGGGCCCGATTTGGGCCTCTCGGGGCCCCTTGGGGGCCTCTTGGGGCCTCTAGAGCGCACCTCGGGGGCTGGCAGAGGGATCTTGTGGTCATCTTGGACCAAAGGGCTCAGAATGTGAGTTCTTGGGCCCCTGTGGCCGTCTTGGGGCCCTCTTGGGCTCCTCTTGGGGGATCTTGGGCCGTTTTGGGCCGATCTTGGGCGCCTCTTTGGCCATCCTGGGCGCTCTGAAGACCGAATAGGCGGCAAAGTGAAACCATACAAAAACCTTTGGATTTGGGCTATCTGGGCCTCTTCGGCCGCCCTCCAGGGCCTCCAGGAGGGCCCAAGAGGCGCCATGCTGGACATGCATGTCCCGAACAACGCCCTCTTGGCCGCTCGAGAACTCCCGCGACGACTCCCCGAGAGCGCGCGGGAGCACCCCGAAGCGCGCTGTATGCCCCTTTGAAGAATACTGGCAGGACCCGATACACGGAACTCGAAGGGACCTGAGGACACTCAGACTCGTGCCGCAGGGCACGGTTGCGGATGTATTCGATACATGCGCTCCAGCTGCGCGCCAGAGACAGCCTCCGCACAAGCTGATGCTTGTGTCGCTGTCTGGTCTTCTGGTGGGCCTGGCCTGGGTCGGTCTACTTGTCTAGCTCCCTGCGCCCGACGGAACTCCACCACGTCCTCCTCGTCCTTGTGGTTCGAGTGGATTCGCAGAGGATCCGATGAAAGTTCTGGTACCGAACCGCAGTTGTGCCCATGCACCGTTTGCCGCAATGTGCCGCGCAAGACGGGCAACGTTGGCGGTAGTGTTGTCCGCCTTGTGGGTCAAAGCAGTGTGTGCCACAAATCTTGGGGCGGTAAAGGGCGCACACGCGTCACAGGGGTGTGAAGGTTCGAGGTGCTCAGATGTGTTCATGATGCAGACCTCAGCGAATTTGTCGCATGAGCTGCTACATGGTTCTGCGCCACATCGACGCGCTGCCACGCCACCCCTTACTTGTGTAGATACTGCGCTCGGGGCTACGAACAGATTTGGCCAGAATTGTTCGGTCTACGTGCACAACCCTGCAGAACCATATTCAGGAATCTGCTTCGACCCCTACTACGACGATGACGATTTCTCTTCATCAATGTGCTGCGCGTGTCCAGCGGAGTGCCCCGCTCGCCCCCAAGTGCCACAACACAGCGTGCCAACCGCTAACAAATGTGAGGATTGGATCGGCTTCGACCCCTCCAACGACGATGGCTTTGGGAGGGCAGCTCATTCAAATCTTGGCGGCTTGGGTCCGGATCACGACAAACCGAAGGAGCTCAGATAGTACGCAATCGGGAAGCTTTCAGATGAGACTCCCTTCGACATGGTCCTCATAAACACAAGCGCGTACGTCCCGAAGGCAACCCATTGGAACAGTATTAGCGCGAGCTTTGCGCATATCAATCTCATCATCGGTGAGTCCGTCTCGCTGCAGGCTCAGTTTGTTAGAAGCCACACCTTCTGCCCAGAGACGCCAGTTCTGCCAAAGATTACGTTCTGCGACCTCGACCGCTACGAGAGCGGGCAGAACGAAGTCATTGTCCTCGACGGTGTCAGCGCTGTCTACACGGTCGACGGCGACGTCGATTTCACCGTGGAATTGTTTGAGCACGAAAGTCTTGGAAGTGGCAGCCCGGTATCGATGACCACCTGCGCAACGTCATTAGTTCAGACATCGATCATTGGCAGGACATCGAAAAAGTACACCCACAGCTTCGGCGGCAAGTTCGGGATAAAGGTAACCTCGCAGATGCTCGGCCACGGCTGCGACAACCCAACGGACCCAAGCGCGCTGAGCAACATCACCTGCGACAACATCACTGTGGACCAGGCGAAGCGGTGCTTCATGGTCGAGCTCGCGGGCACGAGCGAGTTCTCCATCGGGTTCGAGGTGCTGTCGGACCAGCCCCCTGGGCACGTCTTCACCTTCGGACGCAACTTCGCCATGGCCGGCACGTCGAGGTTCTTCGCCGACGTGGACAGCCAGGCCTGCTGGACGCCCTCCCCGACGCCCTCCCCGACGCCCTCCCCGACGCCCTCCCCGACGCCCTCCCCGACGCCTCCGACGCCCTCTCCGACGCCTGCTCCCACAGCCTTTGCGACCCCCGCGCCCACTGAGATCCGGTTGAGCGCCACCGGCGATCCACACCTGGTCAACGTGCACGGGCAGCGCTTCGACGTGATGCGGCCCGGCACCCACGTCCTCCTCCACATGCCTCTGGGGACGCACCCGTTGCGCGCGCTCCTCCGCGTCGAGGCCGAGGTCCAGCGCCTCGGGGGCGCCTGCGCGGACATGTACTTCACGGCCGTCAACATCACCGGGAGGTGGACGAAGCGGCGGCGGGGCCTCATGTTCCGGGCTGGCGGCGCCACAGCAGCCCGCCCAGGCGCGGCGTGGATGTCTTTCGGGAGGGTGTCGTTGAAGGTCGGGCGGGGCTAGGGCGTGGATGAATCCGTTCCAGAGTGTTCCGGAACGCTCTCAGAGCGTCCCGGCACGCTCTGAGAAGGCCGCGGCGCCCGAGACATCCTCCAGAGCCACCAGTTCTAGAGATTCTCGATTCATCCTCACCCGATTTTATCCTCGTCTTGGCTTCGTCTCAGAAGGTGGTCCAGGGCCAGACCCGCGCGGGGGTGGCGTATCTGAACGTGTACGCTCGCAAGCTGCTGCAGGCGGGCTTCCCCGTCGGGGGGCTTCTCGGCCAAGACGACCACACGGAGGCGGCCACCCCGAGCGCGGGTTGCAGGCGGATTGTCAGCCTGTGATGGCGCCTGGCCGCTGCACGGGGCGGCTGTGATCACAATGGCCCGGGTCGTTCTCGTTGTCTTCCTCCTTCCCTTCCACCAGAAGTCGGGCGTGGGAAGACTCCTCGTTCGGATGCAACTCCTGGGAGGTCAAATTCTAATCTTGCCCTGGTCCGAAATCCGATTGCATACGGCTTTCAATTCCATTTAATCCGGCGTAATCCCGCTTGATCCCGCTCAGTCTGTCTTAATCCCGCCTCATCCGAGGCCCACTCCGGCGCAACAGCCCCCCAATGGGGCCTAAACCTCTTTAATTCTTCCGACGAAGACCTCCCAGCAATTGCCTCCTAATCCTCGCCCGCTCGACCTCTCCTCCTCCTCCTCCTCCTCCTCCTCCTCCTCCTCCTCCTCCTCCTCCTCCTCCTCCTCCTCCCAGTTTTGGTACGCTGGGCTCCTCCTCCTCCCAGTCTCCTGTTCGTCGGCCACGCGCAGAGGGGGGTAGGGTGAGGGGGGAAGGCTTCTTAGAAGCACCGCTGCTCCTTAGAAGGCCCGGGCCTTGTCTGTAGATGTAAGGCCAGAGCCTTCTAAGAGGCAGTCTCCTTCGAAAAAGCTTTCCCCTCCCCCATACCCCCATTGTCCGCGCCGACAACTCTCTTTTAATTTGCGTTCTCGTTGGGCACGTCGTCGTGCTTTCTTTTGAACCACGCCTGCTGTCCATCCGTAGCACTGCCTGCAGTGGACAGCGGCACTACTTTGTGAGGCAGGGCAGCGGCTTCTCTCAAGGGAGACCCCCTCGAAGAGCGACGGGGCTGTTTGGGCCTGTCCAGCTGAGCGTCTAGGCTTGTGTGGAAGCCTCGTGCGTTTGCCCTGAGTTGGGAGTTTCAGTGATGGCACTCAACTGACGGAGCTTTCGAGGGCAAATTGCCAATCAAAAAAATATACGGTTCAAACCGACATGCCCGGCTGAACTTCCAGCTTTCTGGGCGCCCGAGCACGCGCGCCCACGCGATGCTTCAGGGGGGCCTCCTGGGGGGGCGTCGTGGGGGACTTGTGGGTGCTTTGGGGGCGTCAAAGAGGCAGTTCTGACATTCCCGTGGGACTTTGCGGTTTCCTCTCGTTGCGGAGAGATTCCGCCATCGTCCTCGGTGTGCCACGAACTTGCGCGCCTGGTCCATGAAGCTTATCGTTGCCGCGTGCTGGTGGGACGTCGCGAATGGGGGATCGTTCGGTGGTGCACGTGTGCTCGAGTTCTCGCGTGAAGCTTCGCTCAGGAGACGCTGCCCGTCGTGTAGCTTTAAGTCGGGCCTCTCACTCTACATGAGGGATATTCAAAAATAGTCAAAAACAAATAGTCTGGGGACGATTGTTGTTGACCATGTTTGCCCATGCGGGGGGCATATTTGGAGTATGTTTTATGTTTCGCCCAAAATCCTCATGTTGGGGGACAGGCCCGACCTAAATGTAGCCGCTGTACGCTCCCGCAGCCCGTAGGGATCAAGAGGGCTTGAGAGCGTGTCCAACTGCCGCGCGCCCCACTTCAGTTTGGTATTTCGGGGGTCGGCGGAGGTGTTCTTCCGGGAGCAGCGTCGGAGCGCTCGTGGGAGCCTTTGGGGGGCGTCTTGGGGCCTCTTGGGGGCCTCTCGGGGGCCTCTGGGGAGACTCCTGGGGCCTCTGGGGTTTTCGTCCTGGGGTTTGTTGGGCGCCTCTTGGGTTCTTGGAGACATCTTGGAGCCTCCTGGGGGTTTCGGGGGGCCGAGTGCGCTCGAAATGTACGCTCGGGTTCCCCATATGGGCCCCTTCTTGGAGCCGTCTTGGGGGCGCTTGGGCCGTCTTGGAGACTTCCTGGGCCGTCTTGAAGCGTTTTTGGGTCGTTATGGGGCCCTCTTGGAGGCCTCTTGGACCGTGTCGGGTCGGTTTTGAAAGCCTCTTGGGCCGTCATGGAGCGTCACGAAGCAGAAAAGGCGATAACGCCGAAATTTCTCGAAGATTTCAGGGGGTACATTTGCCTTTGCCCTCTTGGGAGGCCTCTTGGGGCGTCTTGGGAGCATTTTCGGCCGTCAGGAGGCCATCTTGGGCGTATTGGACCGATGGTTTGACGATTCGGGATTTTCTTCGACCGTCTTGGGGGCCTCTGGGGGTCCTCTTGGCCCGTCTTGGAGCTTTTTTGGTGCCCCAAAAGCTGAGGCGACACACCCCAAGAGGGCGCAATAGCGCCCGGGACCGCCTGGAAAACCGGGGCGTGGGCCCTGGAGAACCACGCGCTCTTTTTTGCGCAGAGCTGCATGAGCCCTGGGGCACGTTACCACGTGCCGATGGCACGCAGTGGCGGATTAACATATACATTCCGTCCGGGGTGCACGGGGAATCGGGTCGGCCGACCCGTATTTTTAAGAATGTCGCATGGGACTTCCTCTCACACACACACACACACACACACACACACACACACACACACACACACACACACACACACACACACACACACACACACACACACTTTTTCCATCGCGGCGCGGCGGAGGCGATCCGCGCGCGCGCTCTAGTGGACCAGGCGCTGGCACGCACTCGTCGCCCGGCGGCAAGAGAGGGGGCCAAGGCGGAGAGCGGCCGCGACGGACGGGAAAAGGAGGGAGGACGCTCACAGCATGAAGAGTTTCAACTGGCGTGGCCGGGGCGGCCAGCCTGTGTTGAGGCAGTTTGGCATTGGACGCGGGGCGGCATCGCGGCCAAACCCAGGGCTGAGGCGCAGGCTGCAGGCGCAGAATGCGTAGACCAACTCGAACCAGTCCCAGATCATGCGCGACCCAACAGACCGGGCGCGAACGGAAACGACCGAGCGCGACCGATCCTGAGAAAATGCCGGGAACTAGTTGTCGCGATTCGCTACCAGGGAAAATCGTATTTCTGAAACGATTGGTAACGGTCGGAACGAACGAGCGTTACCGACCGTCACTATGACGTTAGTTTAGCGTTCGTATAACGCTCGTATAACGTTAGAATAACGTCAGCGTAGCGCGATCCTAACGTGAGTTAGTCTAACGCGAGTTCCCGATCGCCACCGATAGATTTGCGTGGAGGGTCATTGCGAGGCAAGGTCGCGGCAGGAGCACAGTCGGGTTGGACGTGGGCGAGGAGGTGTCAAGGCAACCGAACTAGGTGTGGAACCGCTTGTGGGCGCTGCCGTTGGGGCCATCGGTGGAGCTCCCTATGGGGGCGCGAAGTGCGTGAGGGGCCCACCGACATGGAAGGTGGAACCGCTCGCGGGCGCTGACACTGGGGCAGTCGGTCGAGTTTCCTATGTGGCCATGACTCTTGCATGGAAGTGGTTCGCCGAAATTGAAGGCGGAGCCGCGGGCGGGCGCGCTGCCTCTGGGGCGCCCATGCCTTCCCCCCCCCCCCCCCCATGCCCGCCTTCTCCCAGTTACTTCGGACCGACGTAGCTCTTGCAGGGGTCTCCAGGGCCCGTCTCCCTTTCATCCCCCGCGCACCCCCGCCCCCACCCCCATCCTCTTACCCGGGCGCCCATCTCCACGCGCTCGCTCACATGCGGCGACGGGCCACTCGCGTGACACGCAGCGTTCGCAACGGAGAAGTGCCCGCGAAAGTGGGCGCGGGCAAATTCGAAAGATGGGCTGGGACCGCGGGGCGATTGAAGCCCGGCATAGAAAGCGGGCGCAGGGCCTGCAACATCTGGCCTGGAGGCGGCAACAGAGGCGGCGGGTTCGGCGCCAGCGGCGCGGGGCTGCGTCTGCCGGGCCTCGGAATCGGGCGGCGCTGGGTGCTCTGGCCGAGCGGGGCGCCAGCAGGGATCGGCGGGTCGTCGGGCTGCCCAGGGGCCTTCGCGAAATTGGCGCGGGCTTCGCGACGCTGCCCCCGAGCGCCCCAGGTCGCGGGGCGCGCCGCTAGGTCCTCGGCAATTCCGCGGAAACAAGGCCGACGACCGAACATTCCCGCGGGGTGACTGGCGCGGCCGGCGCCGATGATGGCGCGGCCCGCCCGCGCGTCGGCGGGGTGGGGGGAGGGCGATATTCGGGCGCTCCTGCCCGACATCGATCGGCTCGACCGAACGTGGTGGCGGCGGGCGGCTGGGCGGTCGCGGCCCGCGCCGCGAACTGGGCGCCGGCGGCGGGAACGGCGGCGGAGCAGGACCGCTAGGCCCACCAGAAAGCAGGGCAGGCTGGTTTGAGGCGGCACTCCTCACGCAGCCGCTCAGGCGATTGTGAATAGTCCCTGCGCCTACAAATCGCGGCTGTGAAAAGGCAGGCTCAGTTCCTGCCGCTGCGCCACCTCCTCCGCGCGCTGCATCATCGGGTCCTGCTGCTGCTTAGTCGCCTGCTGCTGTGCGCCGCTGCTTCTCTACGCACTGCCGTTGCACTTTGTGCTCGGCCGCGGCCATGGGCGGCCTCGCCGCCGGATGCTGCTTCATCTGCCCCGCGGCGACGCCGGCGCGCCGCTCGAGGGCCGCCGCCAAGGTCCACCCGCCAGAACCGTCAGCCGAACTCGAACGATCGCGGCGGGAGTCGATCACGACTGCCATCCAAAATTTGACGTCCTGCTCGATCGCGGAGGGCGCGCCTGCGATAGGGCACCGGATGGCCGCCGTCTCTGGCTCGCTAGCGACGCGCGCGGATGGCTCGCCCGCGACCTCCATGGCAGGCTCGCCTAGCTCGCCTAGGCCCGACCGAGTCTAGCTCGCCAACGATGCCCGCGAGTGGGTCGCCCGTCTCTAGCTCGCGATCGCCCGCCTCAAGATCGCCGGCGACGTCCGTGGATTGCTCGCCCGACGCATGTTCGCGCGACGCGCGCGACTGCGCGATCTGGCTCGACTGAGCCGCAGAAATGGAGCCAACGCGGTGGCGGAATTGCGACCGTCGCAATTGGGTATAGGATAGCGCGCAACGTGGCGAGCCCGGGGCGAACGCGGACGAGGCCCGCGCGTTTCTTGCGGGGCTGGAATCCTCACGCGGGCGCTACCATTCCGGCGGATGCGCGCGCGGGCGCCGCCGTTGGCGCCTTCGGCG